ATAAAAAATGGTGAATTTGGCCATCTACATCGGATTACATTAATGTTTCCATCATTTTGCACCGAACGGATTGGCTTCGTTTCCGGACCACCACTTTCTGTGGAATGTATGAATGAATGGTGGTGATACCACTAATCATAGCACGATACAAAACCAAATTGCTTTATATTATTAATTAAGTTGTATTTTTTGGAACAATTGGACTTTATAAACTAATAAGAAACCAAAAAAGCAAAACAATTACAAAATAGAAGTTACACGTGAGTTTTTTAACCAAGAAGCTCATCAGACATCAGTTCTGCTGTTTATATGAACATATAGAAACCCATCTCTCTCTCTTTTTTTTTTTTTTTTTTTTTTTTAATCATTTCCGATCCATGCAACATTTAATTTAAAACAATCATTGAAAACTAATTCAGAAAATATTAAAAAAATACAAAACTAATTAAAATGTACAAAACTATATTATAGTACGAGTACACAAGCATAAGGCCGGTAAGTACAGACAATATCAAGCGGCATTAATCTGAGTTGGAAGTTGGATAACGTCGCCATAACGGGCAGCACACTGCCTCGGCCATGTGTTATCCGACATTATATGATTTTTGGTTATTGTGGTAACGGAAGGCAACGGGGTTTAATTTTCTCCACTGTCAAAAATTGGACCGTTCTTGAACGGTCGAAATGTTAAAAAAAAGAGTAAATTACTGAAATTGTCTTTATGGTTTGGTTAAAATTGCACGTTTGGTCCCTAACTTTTCTTTTGCACTCGGATCGTCCCTGTGGTTTGATTTTGTTGTATTTTTCGTCCCTGTGGTTTGATTTTGTTGCGTTTTTCGTCCCTTACATACATAAAGTTAAGGACCAAACATGCAATTTTGACCAAACCATAGGGACGAAAAATGCAACAAAATCAAACCATATGGATGATCCGAGTGCAAAATAAAAGTTAAGGACCAAATATGCAATTTTAACCAAACCACAAGGACGATTTCAGTAATTTACTCTATAAAAAATCAAATTTACTCAGTACATATTCACTTCATTTTTTACACAAATTACCTTCATTTTTTAAACACAACACAACTAACTATGGATCAAAACTCAAACATTTGTCCTCAAAACACAAACACATCCCCTCATCTCGGTTTTGCACAATATGAGGCGACGCAAACATCCTCAACTCACAAAACTCATCATAACTATCATTTTCCGGCAACTTTTTCAATCCCGCCTCATCCCTACACAACATTTTCAACAACTTTTCTTCCGTGCCGCAAACAACCACGCAACCACTACCCATGCAATAAACGGTTCCCGAGACGCAAGTCGGGGGTAGTCGGAAACCAACAGTCAAGAAAGGGAGAGCAAGAAGGAAAGGGAAAGAGATCACGGTGGAGCAATAGAAATAAGAACCTCCAACATGGTGGACAGTGGAGGAAAAGTATGCGTTAGCAGTGTAGTGGTGTTGGACATCAAAAAACTCAACTAAGGGAAACGATATGAAAAAAATCGTTTTTTTGGGAAGTTGTGATTGGAAAATTTCATGCAATTTTAAAGAATGATGACACATATCACAATCATGATATGTTTAGTGGCAAGTGGACTCAAATCAGTAAGAAGTACAACAAGTTCAATTCCATCTACAACAAATTTTCCTCGCACAAGCAAAGTGGTGCTACCAATTTCGATGCTTTTAAAGCGGCGAGAAAGCAATATCATGTCAAGACGGGTCATGTTTTGAGTACGAAAAAATTTAGGAGATTGTTAATGACGAACCAAAATGGCTTAAAACACCAACATCATCAGAACAACAATCAAAGAGATCTCGTGGCTCAGGTTCACTCGATATATCCGATGCACATACAAACATCGACCTCAATACCCACACTGTTGAACATTCAAATGACCTCAACGACATCAAAGAGATCTCTCCGCCTCAACAACAGATAGGGGGCGACAAGGCGAAGCATGCTCAACGACATGCAGAGGAAAGCGAAAGTAGATTTCGAGAGCATGCGGAAGTGAAACAGAAATTTGACGTCCACAATGACATTGCAATTAAAAGATATGAATTGCAACGCTATCATTTGGAGTTCCTACGTCAAGAAACCGAGGAAGATTGAATGATGAAGGATTTGACAATTATTCGCACTAGCGAGGATAATATGCCACCGAGACAAGTGCACATGCTCCAAAAAATAAATCCAAAGATCGAGCGGAAATATTTGGATGACGAATAGTATATCGGTTTTATGTTTTTTTTTTTTTAAATTTAAGACTATCGTATGTTTTTGTTCAATGTTTTTTTGTAATGTCATTTTTAGTTTTTAAATGTTATTTTTAATTTAGGATTTAATTAAATTATATGTGTTATTAATTTATATGTTTTTTATAATTATTATGACATAAATAAAAAAACAAAAATAAATAACAAACTGGAAAAATAGAAATTAAAAAAAAAACAAACAAAAAATAAATAAATAAAAAATATAGAATGTTATCACATGTTATTTGATGTTGCTTATTTTCACATTTAATATTATAACACAAATATATGAATAGGATGATGAGATAACATATTTTGAATGTGATAACATATAATAACATGTTGCACAGTCTAACATACAAATAACCAATGCAGAACTGAAAATGGTGAAGCGGCTTACCTAACCCGCAAATCCTTAGATTTATGAGGTACGACAGGGCACGGAATGGTGTTCCCTTATGTACCGTCAGTACACCCCCCAAATTTCTTCAAACCACTACTCCTTTTACCCTTACAGGTTCACAATTTTACGAATGTGAAAGGAATAGCTAAGTTTTTTATGAATACATGATCGTTTATATCTATCTACTTATGAATGTGAAAGGAAGAGCTATATTCTTTATGAAGACATGATCCTTTACATCTACCTCCTCTTGATTATGCAAGTTTCATAAGATCTTGGGATAGGTTGTTGTATGGTATAGTTTTTGTATTTTTAAAGTAGGTATGATTTGATTTTTATTGTTATAAAAATGGAATAGACCGTGAACTCAAAATCCAAAATGATGTTAACCTCCATTCTGATGTTTATGGAACTATTCCCATCTATTTTGAAGTCAAACATGGAATCAGATACCATGAACATGAAGGTAGCCAATCCATAATTTATTTTGGCCTACCACCTACATGCTTAAAATCACTTTATTCCAACACAATCAGAAGACAACAAAAGGACTAGATAAGTCATATAAAAAGAAACAAATAGACCACCTTTGACCTTTGAGGATGATTATGACTTTAGTATTTACGACGGTGGTGAATGTAAAGTTATTATAATGAAGATGTGGTCTACAATAGCAGTTGCATTGGTGTAAAATCAGATAAGTTTTTAAAACCTCGAGCACTATTTTTTTTAACCAGCCAACGATATATTAGAAAACATAAAACTCTAGCAAAAAGCTAAAGAACAAACCAAAACATTACAAATTGTTTAAAGAGAATTGCAACCAACAATTCCAAGGAAAAAAAAAACTCTTACTAAGCCTATTAGAGAACCAAAGAATTGAAAACTCTCAAATAGAATCAAAATTTGTATCATTTCTCATTTTACCCCGTTCAAAAACACTATCATTTTGATATCTCCATAAAACCCACAAAGTCGTACACACCGCGTCAATAACACTCCTTTTGTTCGTGGAAACACGTAAGTGATCAATTTGTTGGAAAAGTTGATTAATCGAGTCAAAGTGAACCAACGAAACTTCTAACCATTTGAACACTACATTCCAAGTTCTTGCCGCGACCTTACATTGAATGAATAAGTGATCCAACTGTTCCACGTCCATGTTACAAATCGGGCATAAAATAGAAGGTATGTCAATACCACAGTAATCCAGCTTGAACCTCGTCGGCAATCCATCCAACAAAATCCTCTTCACTATAATATTAACTTTATGGGTAATAAAACGATTTCATCTAATCTTTTTGTCAACAGTAGGCAAAATGTTTTTGTCAATCTACCTTCTAGTGTCAGAAACCGAAAATCCACCATATGTTCTTATAATCCACACCCAAGTATCAACCTTGTCTAATAAATTTACCTTCAAAAGAACTCTATTCAAGTTCATGAATTGTAGGCTTCCCTCTCCTCCGCGAACATCTCGACGCCAACACCATCTCCAACCAGTAGAAATTCTACGATCGGAAACCATGCAATTTTGATTTACTTCTAACCGGTAAAGACAAGGAAATTGGGAAGCAAAACTTTGTTCACCACACATCATTCCAGAACTGAATATCGTATCCATTGCCAAGTTTCATCTTAACAACATCACGTGGCAGAATACATTTTTCTTCAAGACGATTGAAAGACGCCAAGATTTTCAAACAAGGGTTGTACCCTCGGTTTGTGAAAATTTTGGATCAAATACTCCAATTTTCACCAGCTTTTATAACTCGCACCCAAAACAAATTATTAAAATTCAAAAAACATCATTGCCATTTTTGAAGAAGTGAAAATTTGAAAGCCGTCAAACTATCAATATTAAGCCCTCCTATATGTTTTCTTGTATATATCAATGCTCGATTATGCTTAAGAATATGTCGTTTTCATAAAGAAGTGCCTTAATTGATTAATTCTGTTCGAAGATGCAAAACACACACGGGTTTAGTGGTTTGCCTAAATAGCTTGATTAGATTTCGATTATTTTAAACATACCGTCAGTATTTACTTGGTGCAAAGAAAATAAAGATCGGATCTTTAAAAGAATTAAGTTAAGCTTTTTTAATAAAAGGAATCCAAATATTTTTATGGGGTTTCTTGGATACGTCAATAGACATTATGGTAGGGCCTCCAAAAGTTCATACATTATTGCTATGATTCTATATTGGTACTTAACACCCATGTTGTGTGGTCTATAATTGTTTCAAATAAATAATAGTTTCTGATGCATAAACTATACAGTTAATATAAAAATATCAAGCATTTAAGCTTATATAAAATCTGACCTATAATAAATACATTATTTGGGTCATTGAAGAATGAAGAAGGAGTATAAGACTTTACGAACTTTCTCTTGATTTTTGAAAATCTTTTTAGTGGATTAAAGAATAAAAGAGACAAACTGTTAAATTAGAACAAGATTTAACGTTGTTGAACAAAACACTGCATGTTATAACAACTAACTTATTAGTGTTGGTTTAATACATGCGTGTCTTTTTCTCTTGAAATGATTAAACAAATTTAAAGAAATGTCACTAAACGACATTCTCTCCATAAGCATTGTTGTTTCTATATATAGACAACAATTCACATGTTATATGCAAGTGAGTGAGTGACAATTTAGAGTTATTGTAAGACTATTTGTATCACCATCTTCACCTAGCTATAGTCTATACCCATAGATCTATCTTTGTTTCACCATCTTCTAGCTTTAGCCTATACCCATTAATCTATTCTCATTCATCCATGGCTACTCAATTTGTTTCCTTTTTAATCGTGTTCTTGACAACATGTGCCAATTACGGTAAATTCTCTCTCTCTCTCTCTCTCTCTCTCTCTCTCTCACACACACACACACACACAATTATCATACACAGATAAATCATTTTAAGACAGTTTTATGTTTCCACTTCAACAACTTTTAGACTAATAAAATATTTTTCCATAGTTTACTTAGTGATGATGAAAAATGTGTGAAACTACTACTCATGCACAAGTATAGCAAACTAAATGTATCCAACTTTGTGAGTGTTGGGAAATAAGTCTTTATACGGCAAGTTTTTCGTGTGTTTATGTGAAAGGTTATGTTATAATTCAAACAAATGGGTAATATTCAAGCCACAAATTTGTATGAAATTTGATGGGATTTTAGTTTAAGGGATATAGATCAAGTAAGAAAGAAATTTTTGGTAAGAAGGTAAATAGTTTTTAACCTGCATAGTTTTTTGATGAACCAAAACAATGAATCATTAGATGAATAAAAAATAACAAGAGTAACAAAAAATATTATAAAAAAATATCTCGATCATTTAGTTTTATGATGAATTGTTGTTATTCACTAAAATTGTCTATATAAAGTGAATTTTTGCTTAATTTACTTTTAATTCATCAGTTAAATTCATTTTTTGGTTCACTATAAAAATATGTACATAAAAAAAAAACAATTAACATATTCTTACCATAAATTTCCTTCTTATTTATAGGGATTCTTAGTTTAAAACACTAATTTTGAATCTAATCCCCAATTAAAAAAATCAATGACAAAGTTTCAAAAAAATTAAATTAGGTGATTGTTATTTAGATGTTCGTTGTGATTGGCTTTTGGATTTACAGTGCAAGGGGGAGGACCACAATTCGGTTACTTGGGCCCACATGGCCCACGAAAATGGGGAAAATTAAGCCCAACTTACTCGGCCTGCTCCAATGGAAAATTTCAGTCTCCTATCAATATTGTGAAGTCAAAATCTGTTCCTAGTCAACACCTGAAGCCATTAGACATCGAATATCATTTTACTGCTAATGCTACTCTTGTTGACAATCTCTTCAATGTTGCGGTTTGTACTTAAAACTCCTTTTCAATCAATTTTGACTTTTTTTTAGTCTTTAACTTTGACCCTCCACATGGTCCATGTTGAGGTTTTTCACTTTTGAAATCTTTAACTTTGACCTTGATCTTCCTCAATGTTTTTAGATTGTATCTCTTTCGTCAAAGTTGAATTCTATTAATTCGTTTTTTTCACAGTTTTCATGAATACCAGTTATGTATTCTTGGTTTCATCTTTGACCAATTTTGACTTTTTGAACCTTTAATTTTGACTTTGATAAGGGTTGTGAAAATATGTGCAGATGAACTATGATGGAAATGCAGGAGTCTTGAGATTAAATGGAAAAAACTATACCCTCATACAAATGCATTGGCATTCGCCTTCTGAGCATCACCTCGATGGTCTTCAGTATGTCTAAGACTTACATTTTGACTATTAAAGAGATATTAAAAAAATGGTACAATTTGACTTTAAAAGTCAAACCATAAATTGATAAATTATTTTACACGCTTTAGGTATGCCGCTGAGCTCCATTTAGTGCACAAGTCCGTTGATGGCGAAGTAACAGTTATAGCGGTTCTCTATCACTATGGTCATCCAGATCCGCTTCTTACTAAGGTATGTGGTTTCCCTTTGTGACATAATAATTGTAAATAATGTGAAATGTTCAATTAAATTAAAGTCCTTGTTTTCGGGTTCCTTTTAAATAAATAAATAAGGTTTCTAAATGGTTATAGTGCAAGAAAATGATGTTTAATATTTGTGACTCTTTAATAGATACAAAGTAAACTTGAGAAATTAGTAAAGGAGGCTCATAGCTCAACAAACAAACAAGCTCAAGTTGCTCTTGGGGCCATCACCACGAAGGAAATTAGGAAACACTCACGTAAGTACTATCGATATGTAGGATCTTTTTCCACACCTCCATGTTCCGAAGGAGTTATTTGGCACATTCTTGGCAAGGTACCAACATCACAAAGTGATAATTTTATTATTGCAAAAAAAAATTATATCTTTTTTATTTTTCATGTTTTATGTATGTGAGTCTCATGACAATTATAGGTGAAATCGATTTCAAAAAAACAAGTAGCGGAATTAAAGGCGCCATTGATATGGGAATGCAAGAGCAATTCAAGACCAGTTCAACCGTTGAATGGAAGAGAAATAGAGATGTATGATGATGAGATGAACCATGCTTGAGAAAACCTAAACCAAAACATGTACCATTTTTGGATAAAAAAAAAACTATTTGTCCATGTTTATCGTGGCTCAAGGTTTTAATAATATGTGATATTTATCTATGATTGTTTTTTGGAAATATGACTTAGGAGCCCAATAAAGTTTCCAAACCATTCAAAAAGCATCAATCATGTTTTATCGGTTCAAGAAAAAACCAACGAACTTAACGTTGTGTTTAAAACAGCTCAACTAAGTTGCACTTTGTTCAATTTTATGAAGTCAAAGAGGGAAAACAGAGAACGTGGCTTATTACCATATTAAAAAAAATGATTTGTAAGACGAACTTAGCCTTTTGAACATACAAAACATAAATGAGGTTTTTTGAACGTTTTGAAATTTTTGTTGGGCTTTTGTAGACAAAAAGTTGAATTTGTTGTTTCATTTTTTTATAAAACATTATTGAAGTTTTTTGAACGGTTTGAAAATTTCGTTAGTCTTGTAATTTTCATTTTTTTTTTTTTTTTGGTTTTGTTCTGAGCATTAATTATAAACGAGAACTAACATGTTGTATGAAAGTGACAATATAACCTTAATATAAGAATATTTGTATCATCGTGATACTATCTTCATCTCTCCGATTCTGTCTATTTGAAACATATATAACCTATTTTTATAATTAATGCAACATGATATTGGAGTTTGTAATTGATCAAAGTGACACTATACATATATAGTTTTCTTTGTGATAAGTAATGTAACGTGATATTGGAGTTTGTAATTGATCAAAGTGACAATATATATATATATATATATATATATATATATATATATATATATATATATATATATATAGTTTTCTTTGTGATGTTGAAAAATGTGTAAAAGGAATGCATACCAACAAATATAGTGACATGACATTGTTGAGCATTGTGGGTGTTAGGAAAGAGGTATTTACATGTAACTTTTTCTTTTATTCTATCAAATAGGTTATGTTATAACTCAAATAAAAGGGTATTCTAATGACAGATGTTTATGAACTTTTATGGGTTTTTTTACATAAGAACACTAAATTGAAGTTAATATCTAAATTAAAAATTCAAATGGGCTTTGGGTTTAATGCTACATGGGCCCCCAAGGTCCACGAAAATGGGGGAGATTAAGCCCAACATGCTCGGCCTGTTCTGCTACCAAATTTGTGTCTTCTGTAAATAATCAATATCTTGAAGTCAAAATAATATCATTTTACTGATAAGAAATAATATAAACTACATAACAAATGATACAAATAAAAAAATGTGTTCTTATAACCACAAAAAAAAAAAAAAAAATTAAATTAAATAAATAAAATAAAATAAAATTCAAATATAACAATTTAATACTGAACTTACCGCCAAAGCCTTAAAACATTAAATGGCAAAAGAAGTTAATAATAAATTCATTACACTATTCCAGACTTCCGGTCACCGCTAACCCAACATGTGGCCCAATTGCACCCACAAAGGGTGTGCATATTTATGAGTAGGTAGGTCACTCAGTCTGATAGTCTGTAGCTATCGTAAGAGTTTATTCATACAAACAAATGAACAATCTCTCCTTCGCCCCGATCAAAATTCGTATTAAATCAACTAAATAATTTAAATATAATTTAAATAAATATCTAAGTTCGATTCAATTACCTACCAAATAGTAATGCTCTCAAAAGTTTTTCTTGGCTTCGTAAAAATGTGTCGTAGTTTCAAAACTTGAATAAGATGTTACGCACAAAAAACATCATCTTAAATTATATATATATATATGTTCAGGTTCATTTGAGATTATTCTAATTTTGTGAGACCGTTAAATCAAATTTAAAAATAATTTTAAAATGCAAAATAAATAAAAAAATCCAAAAATTCTTTTTTTAAATATTATTTTCGCAACTTGAATTAACTAAAAAAATAAAAAAAAATACCGTTTTTTTTTAAATACATGAAATATTCTAATAGATTATTACACTGACATAATCTAAAAAATAATTTTAAAATGCAAAATAAATGAAAAAATCTAAAAATTCTTTTTTTAAATATTATTTTCGAAATTTGAATTAACTAAAAAAAATAATAGATTTTTTTTAAAAATACGTGAAATATTCTAATAGAATATTACACTGTACATATTCTAAAAAATAATTTTAAAATGCAAAATAAATGGAAAAATCAAAAAATTCTTTTTTTAAATATTATTTTCAGAACTTGAATTAACTAAATAATAATAATAATAATAATAATAATAATAATAATAATAATAAAATCATGTTTTTTTTTTAAATACGTGAAATATTCTATTAGAATATTACATTGTACACTAAATCCATAGCTGCCAATGTTCGTTCATAAAGCACTAATTCCATAGCTGCTATAGTCTATTCATCGGGTACTAAATCCATAACTACCAGTGTTTATCTAATAGGTACTAAGTCCATAGCTACCAATTCCTTAACAGGTACTAAATCCATAGCAACCGGTGTTTGTCCAATAGCCACTAAGTCCATAGCTGTCGATGTTTATTAGTTAGGCACTAAGTCTATAGCTGTCAATGTTTATTCACATCATCTTTTATCTATCATCATTCATCTACCCGTATCATACCCAACATATTCGTGTATATAAAATACGTATACAGTTTAAATCATCTAAAACATGTATAAAAACGTTCATCCAACATAGACAGCAAGTATACATATAATATGCACACATAGCACGTAGTTTATATAAAATACTTCATATCTATGTGTAAGATGAAAGTAACTATGCACTCACAACACGTAATATATATAAATACTTCATATATATGTGTAAGATGAAAGGGACCATGCACTCACTTGAAAAAGGTGGTGATTCCAAACTCAGACAGCGCTTCGCTTCTTAAAAATAATTTCCTTCGACGAAACCTAGTATTATTACCACTAGAGTTTACTTTATTATTCGCTGAGACTAATTAATAGTCTAGCTATTATTACTATTATATAAGCGTAAAAAAATACTTATATAACCCATAATAATATCCCAAGTATTTATTATAAGTTCCTAATAATGTTACTATAATTAAATAAAAGCTATATTAAAAATAGCGTAGGCGTAGCTCACTTACAGCGGATTTTATAGAAAACCAGGCTTTGCTTGGAGCAGCATTCCAATGCGGAAAAGCTCTTCTTCTCGGAGCCGTCGAGCACTCAGGGGCTTCCGCCTTGTGCTAGGGAGGTTCCCTAGGATTTTCGGGGGGTTTCGGGGCTAGAGAGAGGTTCTAGAGAGAGAAAGAGTAAAGAGAAGAAAGAATGAGAAAGGTGTGAAGAAAATGAGCGTGGGAGAGGTTCTATTTATAGAGTGAAAGTGACTGAACTTGGTGCCACATGTCACCATCTAGTGGCAAGACTTGGGGAGAAAGCAATGGCTAAGATTGTGCCACATCACCCATTTTTGCACAGCACACTTTCGACTTCTAAAATCCATAACATTCACATACGACCTCCGTTTTTTACGTTCTTTATATCCACGCGTAGGTAAAAATAATATCTACAACTTTCATTTTGACTCCATCGGCTAATTCTCGACCGATCTTAAATTTAACAGTACGAGGCATTTAGACTGTTAAATGATCGCGAAGAATTCGTAACTCCTTCATATGGACTCTATTTTCGTCTGTCTTTTTACTATTAAGTTCCTATTAATGAGATCTTTAACTCTCATTTAATTCATGTAAGCCAAAAACCGCTCGAACTAAAATTCGAGTTTCGGGTCGTGCACTGCTAAGCTGAATCTTAGAAAAATCATTACTTCTTCATACGAAGTCAAATTTTGGCGTTCTTTTTATGGATTTTCTCGGTTTAACATATTATACGACTTTTGTTTAGATCACTAAGGCTAAAAAGTCCTCCATCGTAAAATCACTATTTACGCTTCCCGGTGCCGTGCTGGTTCCGTCGCGAAACTTCGACGGGTCATAACTTTTTCGTTATAACTCCGATTTCAACGCTCTTTATATGTACGGAAACCTTGTGACATATTATACAACTTGGTTAAGATTATTTATTCTAAATAATCTTTTGTCAAAAAGTCATTTTCGACACCTATTACCTCTAAGTTGACTTGCCCGGATCTACTGACGTTACAATTATCTCCCCCTTAGGATGATTACGTCCCTGAATCATCAACGAAACAGGGCTCGTATAATGAATCCATATGTCATCTCTTCATCCTAGGTAATAATTGTAACTTCTATATTCCTTCAAGTCTATCTCTTAGACTCATTGACTGTAAGCGGTACTCGATCGTGCACCTGCTCTCTACCTCAGGCTAGACTCCAAATTATGACCTTCAAGTCACAGTGTCGATCCTTACTGGATACGAACTTGAGGTAAGTACTTTTATTACTACTGTAACGACCCAAAAATTAAGACCAAAAATTTCTTTTCATAAATCATTACTTAAAGTAAAGTCATCCTTCCAAAACATAATATGAATATAAGTTTTCAAAACACATGTTCATTATCAGAGTAAACATTCCCAGGCTGTCTAATCTATGGTGTGTGCCATGCAATCACCCCGAGCTCTTCCCTCCGCTACCGGAAGTACCTGAAACCAAAACTGAAAACCGTAAGCACGAAGCTTAGTGAGTTCCCCACCCTACCACATACCATGCATAACCACATACTACACATACTGGGCCACGCCCCTACCTCGGGCCTCGCCCGCTACAACGGCCCCGCCGCTCCAGGCCCCGCCTGGCTTCGAGCCCCGCTCGGATACAGATTTGTTTTACTTAGGCCTCGCCTGTCATAGGGCCTCGCCCGCCAACAAATAATTGATGGGTTTTAGCCATAAGAACTTTCCTATGTGCGCATGCAAAAACCCTAATGCTCGGATCTAGGCTTTCTAATTAAACATGCTTTGAATCCAAGACTTCTAATGGCTAATTAGGTTAAATAACAACATTGAAACAGATCTAGAATCATACCTTTGAGTTCCTTGTTGATCTTGTTGTCTTGGAGCTTCTAGAGTCACAAATGTCACTCCTCTAATGGCTTACAAACACCAATAGCAAGCAAGATGATTTAGGAGAGAGGAGAGGGAAGGAATTCGGCCAGAGTATCTCTACTTTAGATGGTGTGTCGAATTCCCTCACCCCTAGGGTCTATTTATACTTGTAGACTCCTTAAGGGTTACAACCTAAACCCTAATTGGATAATCTTCTCTTAAGGCTATCCAAATCCATTCCATAGATAACCCTATGGACGATTTTGGCTTATCCAAGCCCTAGAAATCGTCCATTCTATCTAGGATAAGGATTTATAGTCTAAAGTGTAACTATCAAACAATTGACAGTTTATACCTTCTTATTTAATTAATCTCTTTAAGTCACCAAATTAATTCCAATTAATCTATGACTTATATTGATCAAATAACCATATATTATTCCTTATAATATTTACTCTCTTTTAACAAATCA